TCCCCTGCTCATGCTCGGTCTCTCCCTCTCAAAAATAAATAAACATTTAAAAAATTTAAACTTTGAAAAAAAAATTAATCCCTGGTAACAGTGGGAATCCACATGGAAGGAAATATTTACCTATTATTGTGTGATTTCAGGAGTTAGCAATTTTGCTTTCTCTTTTCTCTGAGGCAGCATTTTGGTGCTAGATGTGCCTCGGTTCACATTCTTCAGCTCTGCCACAGAGTGGCTTTGTGATCTAAAGCAAATGAATATCTCTGAGCTTTACTGTAAAAATGTCCTCATCAGTAATATGGCCACGCTGATATTTAATACAGTTGTTGCAAAGGTTCCTGTAAAACATTTGACACAGTTTTGTTCTAGTACAAGTTCCTACGTATCCACATTTTTCATGGAGTATAACCACGGTGCAGATAAAATTTTTGTCTTTTTAACGAATTTTTTTTGAGTTTATTTATTTATTTTGAGAGAGAGCACGAGTGAGTGGGGGAGGGGCAGAGAGAGAGAGAATGAGTGCTGCAGCCCAGAGAGATCATGACCTGAGCTGAAACCAAGAGTTGGAATCTTAACTGACTGAGCCCCTCTGGGTACCCCTTTCTTTGTCTTCTTTTTTAACCTGACCTATTTCCATAGTGTAAACAATTTTTATAATTACTGTTTTGAAGTATTAAAAAGTATTATAGCATATAATGACATTTTGCCACGAAATATACTGTGGACACGATGTCCTTTCTGTGTATAATATGAACCTTAACCTTACCTGCTTATCTCAAGAAATAAAGCTCTTGAAAACCTCACTTCTTGCCATAACTGTTAGCAAAAGCAGGAGGAAACAACAGGCCTGAGTTGAGTCTGGGCAATGGGCCCATCGTAGGCTTCCCAGGTGAGAGATGCACGTCCACAGACCACCCTTTAGTATGCCGTTTTGGAGGCCTTAACCTCCGGGCTGCACAGAAATGATCAGAACTATAAATATTAAATCTGAGAATACCAAAGATATACTGTGCTTCACTTCATAATGATTTCAGTGTAAATGAGCATTTTTCATTTTGTCTTCTCTTTTTTTTTCATTGTGAAAGTGATGCTGCTACATAGAAGTCTCCTGTCGACCAAGAAAGAATCCACTGAAGGTTTAAGCAGACAGACATTTATTTGGGCTAATTAGAATTGCAATTCAGGAAGCACAGATTCAGGGAGAAACCCGAATCCTAGGTTGTTGCTGGATCCAAGGAGGTCAAAGGACAGGGTCGAGTTATCAGTCAGAGGGCCAAGGGTATAGTTCTCGTTCAGGTCCTCTGTGCAGCACAGGGATTGAAACTAAATTACCTGGGATTGGTTGGGTTAATATGCAGATAAGGGGTTGAGCTTGTTCAACTGCATTGGCTCCTTTTGAAGTGCAGAGTGAGGTGAATTCTGGTGTCCCCATGAGGAGGAAGTTCACGCCCAGCTGAGGGCTTGCAGCTGGCTGAAAGGGTTTTTTTCCTTAAAGGTCATGGTTTTTCTGATGAGGTCGTGCATAGATTCCTCCTCCTCTGTGGCCCCCCAGCTCTGTTTTAAAAAGAGACTCTGTTAGCTAGGCTTGTTTCCTGTATTTTGAAATCTCCTTTTATAAGACATATTGATTTTTCTTTCCCTAGTAGTATTTCTGTTAGATAAATCTCTAAAAGTGGAGACACACAAACCCTGCATGGTCCTTGATGTGATTGCCAAGTTGTTTCCAAAGATATTATGTAGATTTACATAGAGATCCCTAGTCAAGTAGTTTCAGCCATCCAAAACTTGGGATTTTTTAAAATTTAAAGTGTTTTGTGGGAGACTAATTTAACAGGTGAAATTTTAATTTTAATTTCTTGGCTACTAGTGAATTTAAACATTTAATTTTCATGTATTTGTGACACTTCCTTTTGCATTATTTATTCTTATTTTTCCTCTATTAACTTATGTAATAATATGTATAATAATATGTAATCATATTGTTTTGTTTTTTTCTTTTAGCTCCGGTAATAAACCGATTCACAAGGCGCGCCTCAGGTAAGCCAGCCTGTATTGTGATTTTACTTATTAATGGTGACATTTCTTAACTAATAATAGCGGTATTGGACAAGAAGATATGGTGAGAATAATTACTGTGGACTAATGATTTATTTGTCGGTCATTTTCCCTGAAAACAACCATGTGATGTAATCAAGAACTAGGAAATAATTGGAAATGGCCTCTCAGTGTTTAAACTTACAATCAGACGGTGCATTGGAGCTAATGCACCTTTTTTTTTTTTTTTTAAAGGAAATCCCAGTTTCTTTATTATTGAAAACCATCAACTGGTTGTTGGAAGTAGGAGACTAAGTGAAACCTCATACCTGCCCAAGGGCTTTCTCCTGAGCCCCACCATACAAAGGAACGTCTCAAACCTATGCCCTTTCCTCCCAAACTCCAAAAATTAGGGGGATTATTCAAAACTATCTCCAATGAGTAAGCTCAGTGGTTAAAGGTTTCTCCTGGGGACCAATGACAAAGTTAGCCTTATTAATGAAGGCCACAGACCAAGCCAGAAATGCCTAAAGAAGTAAGGGTCCTTGAGGGAAAAATCCTAGTGCAGACTCCATACCTAGGCATTTTCTGTTAGGCTTAATATAATCTAGGCAGACTGTGCAGGTCCACTAAGAGGAAGGATGAAAACACCGCACGGTGGAGACATGTGAGTGGTGGACAGCAGCTGATACTCGGACCCAAGCTTGGAAGGCAAGCATTTCCTCCTCCATCATCAGAGATCTCTCCCTCCTTCCAGTGAAAGTTGGCCACAGCAGTGGAGGCCTTCCCGGAGGGTGCCTGTCAATTCCCTGAAAGCCTCTTTAAAATCAGAAGCAGCACCCTGCCTGACTGAGGCAGAGCCAAAGGGGAAACATAAATAAGAGGCCCAGGCCTCAGGCAGGGCCTGTGGTTACAGAAGGGGCAGGGCCTCAAAGGTGGCAGGGCCTCAAAGGTGAGGAAGCACTGAGAAGGCAGGGATTCTATTTGTCCTTCTTGCTTTCCCCCTCTGGCACTTCCGTGGTGGTTGGGGCCACAGGCTGCTCCTCAGGGATATGATCTCCAGCCTTTGATAGCTTCTTGGCCCTTTGATACAGCTCATTCAAATTGAATTCTTGGATCACATTCTCCTCAGAAGGTGCAAGAGACAGCTCATCCTTTTTTGTCAATCTGTGGCTGCCGCATGACCTCCTTGCCACCTTGGAACAGGATCAGAGTAGGGAGCTGCCTGGCGAGGGGCGACATGCTCACTTTGTACCGTGTACTAACATCAGTGTGGCGTCCAACGTCCACCTTCCCCAAATTTAGCCCTGTACAGTTGTACTTGAGGGAGAGGTAAGCATAGATAGGAGCAAACGACTGGCAGTCATTAGACCAATTGGCAAAGAACGCCACAATCTAGGTGACCCTCCTTTTCCACTCCAGCTCTTCATCAATGGTTTTGTCATTGAAGTACTTGATATACTCAGGGCCCATATCCGGCTGTGGGGGGGGGGGCCTTGTATGTCATCAGGAACACTATGCGAAGTGTGATGTAAAGCAGGCCCATACGAAAATCCAGAAGGAAGAAAAGAATTGCATTGGCCACTTTACTAAACATGAAGTTGTTGCCTGTATGTTGCTCCACAGCGATAGATCTGTGGTTCTTCATCATCCTGGTGGCACTGAGGAACATCAGGATCTCTCCTTCTTTCCAGTCAGAGTCACACAGGTTGCCGTCTTCGCGTTGCGTGGGGAGACTCCCAATGCACCTTTTTAAATGGAGACCCTCACCCCAGTTTTATTCCTGCTCTTGATCAGTTATTGTCTACATGGTTAGCTGATGTACCAGCCACAGTTCAGAGGCAGTGATTTAGAAGATGGGTAAAGGACACCCTAGAAACAGTGGTGGATGAGAGTTTTTAAGAAGGGACAGGATAACTGAAAATACGGGTGGGAGAACTTGTCGTCCTGAGGCCATTTGGAATGGGAGCTAATTGCTTTACATTTGTTAATGCCCCTGAGGCTCTTGCTGTCTTAGAGATATCATAGGAACCGAATGCCTAGTCACAGTGATAGACCTTCGCCACTCACGAGTGCTTGAATTAGATTCTTGGTACGGTGCACTACCTGCATTGGTAGGGAATACTGGACATAGTTGAGAACATTTCTGTCCAAAATGGTTTAAGTAAAGTGAGTTTGGGCATTGAAGTGGATCAACTATTTGGAAAAGTTACTTCCATGGAGTGCCTTCTTCTCTGAAGACAAATGACACTGCTAGGTTTGATTTGAGAAAATTACTCTTTCTTTTAAATATGACTAGAATTTTTTTGTTGTTGTTGAAAAACATAAGGTAGATGTTTCAGACACATCATTTTTGACATTTACATAACACAGATGAGTAATTTATTTCATAAAATCACCTCATTTCCATCTGTGCTGTATCATTAAAGGTGTTTTAAGGTTAAGTTTTATTTTTTATCTGCTGGCAATTACTGGTACAATTTATTCTTTTTTTTTTTTAATTTTTTTTTTAACGTTTATTTATTTTTGAGACAGAGAGAGACAGAGCATGAACGGGGGAGGGTCAGAGAGAGGGAGACACAGAATCTGGAACAGGCTCCAGGCTCTGAGCTGTCAGCACAGAGCCCGACGCGGGGCTCGAACTCACGGACCGCGAGATCATGACCTGAGCCGAAGTCGGCCGCCTAACCGACTGAGCCACCCAGGCGCCCCTGGTACAATTTATTCTTATTCTGTAGTGACCAAATCTGTGAGGAAAGAGGCAGGGATTAAGTAGATGTGCTGTGTGGGGATAGTATCTACTTCATCCTCCTGAGCTTTTTGTATGCTGAAGACATACTTATTTTAAATGTTGCAAACAAGGAGCGGATTGTAATCGCTTTTGTGGAATGAGGAATTCTGCTTTATGTCAGCAAGGCATCGGACGTTATCCCAGAGTAGAGCCATCAAATGTGAAGGTGCTCCAGTGCAGGGATGTTGTCTTTTATGAGCAGTGGTGGCAAAAGAGAGGAGCAATAAGATGGAATCTGTAGTGTGGTACCTTGTCTTCTTGTAAAATTCTTTCCACAGCCACATAGTTTAGGAGTTTTAGATTAAATTGTCTCCTTTTCTGTATCAAACTGTGTGATATGAGACATTTATATCTGGGCAAGTTGCATTAGTGTTTGTTGTACAGTATACTTACCATCAACTGATAAATCAGGGGCTCCAGCATGTAGGTAAATTTTGAAGCACCATTATTTTCGTATCTCTACCACCACTAAGTCTGTGTCCGGTATATCTTGGGAAGACTTGGTTGGAAATGTAGAGAAGGTGGAATGCCAGCAAAGAAACACTCATTAAAGTCAAACGTTGTGCTTATTCCTAGAATCACGGGCAATAGGAAATGTCAGGAAACAATCTGACTTAAAGAAAAACAAACAGGATGATGTCAAGCTTAAGGGTTGCACTATGTACAGCAATAAGCCTCAAAAGGAGTAAAAATTGTTACCCTAGTAATATAACATGCTGAAACTCATTATGAGAGTGAATCTTAACATGGAAGGAAAAGACGACCAGCTTTTGGAGACCCCCTGTGCTAAGCATTTTATGTACATCTTCAGTCTTTCAGGCAAGGAAAATAAAATTATATTTACTACCTTAGATAAAAAGAGCAGTGCTATAAGAAGGAAAAAAAGGAATGGGACCTGTTAATCATCTACATGTCTGTAATTTATTTGACTTTCTAATTTTTTTATAGAAGTTTGTCTAAAACTATTCCAGGAAAGAAGAATATTCGAACAGTCTTAAGCCATCCCGAGGAGGAAATTCTGTAGTTCTCTTTGTTAATTTAGTGGCTCAAAGTAACTTAATTTAGTAGTAGAGATATATGTCAGTTTCTTTTAAAGTATCATTTCCTGAAAATAATAAATGTCTACTTAAAATGTAGAACTTCATACTTGGTCATTAACAATAATTGTTAGGATATCTTTTTCTGATGGAGTTTTATTTCAGAAATAAATTTTCTTTTCAGAAATAAACTATAAAACTTATGTAAGACCTTTAATTTCGAAAAAAAAATAAGTCAGGTAAAATCAACCAGAAGCTTATGCGATATGAGTTTTTTTCTTATTCACTATTTTTAAATAATAATTACAACAGTAACTCCTGTGTAACATAATATAACATGCTATGGGTATTGCTAGGTAATCAGTCGCTGTTGATTGAGTGAAAACAGAGAATATGTTACAATATATTTCTCAACTTGTGGCTGAATTCTCTAAATCTTTTAGGTTTTGGCTTTTGCTATTCATACTCCATCTTTCAAAAATGAATATTTCAACCTGAGTAATTGGAATAGAACATTTCTCCTTTTTGTGTCTTTTTCATTTATTATAGTTCATGAGGATGAGGCAATGCTTATGTTAAAAAAGTATTTAACAAATACATCATTTAGGATCATTTTGGAGAGCCTGGGTGGCTCAGTCAGTTGAGTGTCCAGCTTCAGCTCAGGTCATGATCTCGTGGTTCATGAGTATTGAGCTCTGTGTTGGGCTCTGTGCTGACAGCTCAGAGCCTGGAGCCTGCTTCAGATTCTGTGTCTCCCTCTCTCTTTGCTCCTCCCCCGCTCGTGCTCTGTCTCTCTCTATCTCTCAAAAATAAATAAACATTAAAAAAATTATTTAGGATCATTTTTGCACCTTAAACAACACTGTTTCTGCTCAACTCTCTTCATATGTTTTTAGTGCCTGCCTACAAACCTGTCAGTTTTTATTTCTATATGTAGAAGGAATCTGTATCACCTAGCAATTTTCTAACAGAATTCCTAGAGTCTTTAAGAGCATGTAGAGGTTTCACGGCTTCATAAGCTGGTTTTCCACTAGGTACAGGAATGAAAGTACAGTATGGGATGATTAGTGGAAACCCAGATGGGTGTTCGATTGGTTCAGTTCTGCAAAACATGACTGGAACTGTCAGGTGTCTTCCAAAATCCAAATGAAACATATCTTTGATATCTTCCTGAC